GCTATCGGTAGGTCTGTCTCCAGACTATAGTAAAATTATGGCATGATTCATAGTTTTGCCCAAGTTATACACAGTTATACACACATGCTTGCTCTCAGGTACATATTTGACTATAGTCTCATTTACTACTACTCTATACTCTCAGATTCAAGGTACATTGATTATTTTAGACATATTTTCACCAGTCCTTGGCTCTCCTGGTGAACCATGGCTAAAGAGAGCAATGGTGAATTCAAGTATCCAACTGTCAGAACAAAACAGGGAAGGCAGTTCTACCCAGCACATTGATATATGATGGCAGTATCTGGCTGATGCACCAACATACTTTTGTGAGCTAACACGATATGATATGAGTCGGAAATTTCCATCTGGAGGAATAAATGACAAAACTCTTTCAGATTCCCAACGCTTGAACCGGATGCAGGGGTGGAAGCTGACATCATCTAGAAGCCTTGGGTTCTGCCAGGAAAACAGAACACAGCCATATTCATAGAGTGTAACAAATATGGCAACTCTACTCAGATATTATGAGAAATTAATATGCGCCTTAAAGGTAAAGCAGTCATGTAAGAGTTTGTTACTATGACCCCATCAACACAACCTTATAGTTTCAAAATGCAAATTTTTATATGCCTTATTTTATTTGAATTTCAATAACTCTCTGAGCTAGAAAATATAAGTGGTATCATTTCCATTTCATAGATGAAAAAACACTGAGGTTCAAAGAACTCAAGGTCAGAACAACTTAGTAGCTGAGACAGCACCAGAACTCAGTTCTCTTGATTGTTCTTAGTAGTGTGTCATGCCAAGTCTAAAATGATGCAAAAGATCAATGCCTTTTCATATCAGCAAAGCAAATAATAATTCAGTAAAAATAACAGAAGCCAGCCAGCCACTTAAGCTCCTTCTAGCACACCTAGGCAAAGACCTTTCCTCAGCCTTTCCATAAAGGCTATGCTCATCATGTAAGCTATTCTTGGTAAGTTGTGCTAAGAATATTTCTGAGATAGTCTTTTGCATCCTAACATACCAACATGTCTCAGTATTTATCATTTCATTTAGTACTTCACATGGATTAGGCATGCAAGCAGCTACAGAACAAGAGAACAAAACCTACCATGAAAGAAAGGGAAAGGTCAGGCATTCCAGATAGTTTAATGCAAGCATCAATGACCCCCTGAATTTCTGCAAAGACTGTAGATCCTGAAGAAAGAAGAAACAGGGTGATAACATCACTGGAATCTGCGTCTTTACTAGAGCTATCGCTATATCTGAAGTAATGGAGATACCTCCTGGGTGTCAGACATACTGAAGCTTTGCACATCTATTAACAGGTCAGTGGACAGAGATCCATTACACCACTTCAGACAGCTTCTTCACTGACTGCTATGGCCCGTACCTTACTCTGGTTGGAATATGAGAATTCTGAGGAAAAATCAAACCTGTCTATATCTTTATAGTCAAACTTGTACTATATGTCAGTGCTGGATATGAAGTTAGAATATTTTAAACAGAATTTTAAAATGAGGCAAGTTTCTCATGAAATGGATTACGCTATCTGTTAACTTTGAAGAAATAGGAGCCATTATTCTGTAATACAACTATTATTCTGTACAATAGAATTTTACACTTAAAAGGGCACTCACTAAAGAAAAGATATTGGCTATACTTCACAGTAACTCATTTTTATACACCAACTAGCTGTGTTACCTTGAACAGATTACTTAGCCCTTCTAAAATTCAGTTTCCTTCTGTATAAAATGTGAGGGTTGGACTAGATGTTTTAAAAATAATTTTATGATTCTAGCAGAGTACTGTTGTTTTGTCTGGGGTCTTTACTAGAAGTAATGCACAAAAAGTAGTAGCAAAGGTATGGTGTACAGTAGATATACAATAAATTCTAGAATGAATAAATGGCAAGGGGGTAAACAGGGTAATAACTGGCTTAATGTAAGACAGCATAAGATCTGATTTACTCAACTAGTGGTTATGAAAATTATATGTAATCTCTGGGCAAAATAAACAGATTTTTAAACAATTAGAAAACCAATGCCTTTCCACTGAAACCATACTGCCGAGGGATTTCAATTTTCTATTCAGCTTATGTCAGCTGAACTGTTTTTTTCACAAATAAGACAGCATACACACAATTACCTGATTTATCTATAATTGCATCTATCTCTTCAACGACATCGAAATAGGCTTCATTATTTGTGTACTTTACCCCTGCCCGACGCCATGGGATGTTGGACAGCTGTCCAGTGGGGAGTGTGTCCCCAACATTACTACTGCCTGAAAACCGGAAAAGGAGAAAGCAAAGCTAATGTATAAAATGATCATTAGGAAAGCTATTAACAGTAAAAAAAAAAAAAAAAAGAATGCTTTAGTTGCTTCTTTAATATTTGGGTTTTTCTTCACTGAAGTTGTGGAAGGTTTCCAGAATTGTTGGAGACATATCCATACCAACATGATCAAATTTCTAGAAGACTGAAATAGGCCATGTGGCACTCTATCTGCCAATCCAGGTTAAATTCATTCACTTATCATTCGCTTCCTGTGTGTTAACAGTAACCTAATCTAATTCCAGTGGCTCAACAACAGAATCTCATCCTGCTGCCACTGATGAAAAAAAGAGGCTGGTTGTTTCAAAACCTTCTGCCGATAAAATGTCTCCACTGAGAATACAGAGTGATAACTAGGTCCTTTGGTATTCAGCTTAGATTTGACAGGAGATGCTGCCAAGCAGGCCTCAGTGGAGTAACTGGAATGAAGAACATACTCTGGCCTTTTTCCATTTTAAGGTCAGCTCACCCATCTGGCTGCAATACGGCTAATGTTCAACAGCAGGCTAATTTCCTGGTAAGCTGACATAGATCTGAAAATAAGTCTGCTTGTCCAAAACATATATCCTTGAGATGTGACGTATTTAACACTTTTGGTTAATTTAGATTTCCAACTCAAAAGTGGTACATGCTTAACAACAACACTTTCCAGTGTGACAACATCTATAAAGGATGAAATTGCTTTCAAAAAATTTATACTGTTATTTATGTATTTTAATTTTTTTCAGTCTCCCATCCAGAGTATAAGTTTTAGGAGCACAGATACTCCAGCTTATCTTTCCTTGAATTTCTCCTGTCACTCAGCCTTGTACAGAGGATGAATAAGAGCTATGGAACAATCATTTTCTTACAGGCCTCTCTCACCCCATTTTTTAGGTCAGTGCAATTGGAGAAGCATTTACAATGGTGGACAGTAGAGCTGGAATGGCATATAACATTTCATAGAAACCTTTCTCTAGAAATCTTTAATATTTTCAAAAGAATATTGTCATCTGATGTACTTAATTTCTAACTCTATTGAACAATTAAACCAAAATTGGTTTAATACTGTTATAACACAAGTACAAAGCACACAAAGTATAAGATCTCACAAATGGACTAATTTCTTATCTCCTTTTGTTTTAATACATCTTTTGCATGTATAAAACAAAGACCTGCAGAAGACAGTACATCCTCTGTGAAAGCGAGTTACATTTTCTATACTCTAGTAATTGTAGGGTAGTAACACAATGCAAATTTTATAATACTGTTTTTTATTTTTATTTTTTCCAACTTTATTGAGTTGTAATTGACATATAACAAACATTGCGTTAAGTTTAAGAAATACAACATAGTGATTTATGTATATATTGCAAAATGATTACCACATAAGTTTAGTTAACATCCATCATGATATAGGCTTCGTTAGGATTAAATGGGATAATTTATTCAGTCTTAATATTTAGTGTTAGAAAATAGTAATAATGTTGTGGTCTTGTAGAAAAACCTATAACAAAAAAGTAATAACCAAAAGTTCTTTATCATTTATAATCTAGCCTCTTTCCATGACAAGAAATATACTATCTATTTTAACATTATCAACAACTTTAATTCTGGCCAAACTGTACCACCTTAATAATCTGTCAGAACATAAGGAACAATAAGTTGTTTATGAAGTTTTAATTACTCAGATCCTAATAAAGTATGTTTTCGCCTTACCTGTAATAGAGTTGACGACAGAACGTAGAATTGTTGGTGGTTTAATCAGTTCTTTCAAAATGTTAGATTCAGTAGCCAGTGGAAATCCATTGTCTAACATTTCTTCCAAGAGCTCATATACTATGACCACATTATCCTTAATTGCAGCCTCCGAACACTCACCAAAGTAGTCCTAACAAAATGTACATAATATTACACAATGGCAGGCATGAAGAAAGGCTTGCTAAATACTTCTTGTTCTGAAGGATAAACTTATGTAACATAATTAATTGTTTAAGATGAATGTAAAACAGAAAAAACACCCTCGATATTTCTATATACTATTGCTCTATATTTTCTTAATATTTTTTTTTTTTAAGATTTTATTGGGGAATTGAGGAATTGGGGGAGGGGAACAGTGTTGGGGAATTGGGGGAGGGAACCAGCCAAGTTGTTGTTCTTCAGTCTTCGTTGTGGAGGGCGCCAGTTGCCATCTGGCTGCCTGTCCACAGCTTGTGGCCTCTAAGCTCAAGGTGCTGTGTTCAATCTTAGCTGTGGGTGAGCGTAGCCACCATCCCATGTGGGAGTGGAACCCGGAAGCCTTGTTGTTAAGAGCGCACGCCCATATCCACTGAGCCATCCGGGTGGCAGCTCAGCTCAAGGTGCCGAGTTCAGTCTTAGTTGCGGGTGGGCATAGCCCACCATCGAACAGGCAATTTTGTTGTTACACCAGCTTAGCCATCCTGCCACCTGTTGGCAGCTGAGCGACAGCTCAGTTCGGGCGCAGCGTCACTGGCCCATGTGGTAATCGAACCGGCGGCCCTGTTGCTCAGAGCTAGCGCTCTTAAGCCAACATTTAACCAACTGAGCCACTCGGCCTGCCCCTATTTTCTTAATATTTTTAGATTGAATTGAATTTCTGTTATATATTATGCCAGAAAGTACACTGAAACATTAAATTAGAATGAAAACTATAAACTTCCTTTGCCCTGACTAGGTACCCCAAAACACACAGCTAAGTTTTAAACTACTTGGTATATTCTGCAAAACAAGAAAAAATAATAAAATGTAAATATTAATAGATTTCATAACCAATAAAATCTTGGGACTATTCATAAAATTATATGTGGAGGGCATTATTGCTTCCTGATGTAATTTGTAATACATATAAAAAATAAGGCTATCATGACCAGATTGTTCTATTCTTCTAAAACAGTGAATGGAGCGGCCATGGGTGCTACACCCTACAAAAAAGTTTTTATGCTTAGAACTTATGCTTAGTAGAAGAGAGAAAGACAGATAGACAACACGTCAATAGCTGGGTAATTCAAAAATATAATAATGTGTCCCACCTCCAACTAACTTGCGTAATTTAAGTTCAAAAGGTCTGGTGAATAACCAACCTGAAAAGTGTCAGCAACTCGATGTAGGAACTCAATTACAAAGAGAGGTGGCACTTCAGTCTGTATGACAGACACAAAGAAGAGCTTATCTCGATAGATACTGATGAGGTAGTGGTGAGGTGTTGAAATGACAGGTGGTACATTTTCAACATCAGCAGCTTTCTCTTGAGCTTCAAAGAAATAATCACAGACAGATTGGCTCACAACACTCTTCCAGTGCTTCTCTAGAAATATGTCACCGGAGCAGTTTATGAGAAATAGACTGTGGATCATTTTCTGGGGGAGGGGGGAAAGGTTTAAATTTAGTATACATAAAAAAGTATCCATGTATTATTCTGACACCAAAACCAGACAAGGCAATATAAGAAACTGCACACTGTTAACACTTAAGAATATAGAGGCAAAAAATCCTGAACAAAATACTAACAACTGAACCCAGCAACATATAAAAAAGATTATGCACCCTGATCAAATGGGATTTATTCCAAGAATGCAAGGTTGGTGTAACATATGGAAATCAATCAACATAATACACAATACTCATAAAAGACAAAAAAACATATAATCATTTCAAAAGGTACAGAAAATCATTTGGCAAAATCCAACACCCTTCAAAGATATAAACCCTTAGGAATAGAAAGAAACTTCCTCAAATTGATAAAAAGCATCTATGAAAATTCCATACCTAACATCATACTTAATGATTAAAGACCAAAAGCTTTCCCCTAAATATCAAGAACAAACAATGATGTCCACTCTTACCACTTCTATTCAACTAGAGGTTCTAGCTAGGGTAATTAGGTAAGGAAATGAAACAAGTCTTCCAAATGGAAAGGAAGAAATAACCCCCCCCACCACACACACACACAATTAGAGCTAATAAATGAGTTTAACAAGGTTGCAGAATACAAGATTAATACAAAAAATCAATTGTATTGCTACACATTATCATAATACCTTATGACACAAAAATCCACTCCCAGGTGGATTAAACAGAAATGTGTATAGAAATATACAAAAAATATATTAAAAAAACAGTAATGTATTATTAAATGAAATGTTACAGAGCAATTAAAATGAATGAGCTATTGCTACATGAAACAAATATGGATGAATCTTACAAACTCAATATTGAACAGACAGACACAAAAGGATACACAGTATGATTTTATTTATATGAAGTTCTAAAACAGGTAAAACTATGTTTGAAAATTCAAATGGTTTATTTTATGGAGAAAAGTGGGGGCAGTAACTGAGAAGGGTATAGAGGTAGTCTTCTAAGGTGCTGGTAATGTTTTATTTCTTGATCTAGATTAGGGGTTGGCAAACTTTTGAGACAGAAGAGCTTCCAGGGGTCATCAAACTGCAGCTCACAAGCTGCAGGCTCTGAAGTAAAATTGAAAATGAAAATAAAACTATCATAGTTTCATTTATAAAAATTTTAAAGAATATTATTCAAATAATGGTGATTATGTAAAAATATATTTATGGCTCTTGAATAATTGTTAAATTGTTGGGAGGGACAGGATTGGCTCTTCCAGGGATTGGCAAACTTTTGAGACGGAATGTACCCAAAGAGCTGCTTGTGGCTCGCGAGCCGCAATTTGCCAACCCCTGATCTAGATGATGGTTACAAGTTGTGTTCATTTTATGATAAATCATTGGACTTTATGTTAAGACTTGTATACTTTTCTGAGGGTTAGTTATATTTCAAATAAAAAGTTTTTGTCCTTGCAATATGGGGGTCAGTGGGAAAATGTCTACCTTAGTTCTTTCTTTCTTTTATATGGATAGCATCAGTATTAGGTGTTTAGTACAGTGGGCCATTCATTCAAAATTATTAGGCTACATATACATGTAGCCTAAGGAGAAAGAATTTAAAATCTGAAAATAGTATCTATGCATGAAGATAAATTTCAAAGAGGAATGGAAGACTTTTTAGAATGGATTCATTCAATTCTGTTGACACAGAAAACAATGACATCAACCTGACCAGCTCTTTTTAGAGAAAGTCATTTATTTTATGAAAGCAGCTGACATTTAAAGACTATCTGGTGATGATTTCTCTTTCCCATTTGGCATATGTTCAATAGTTTTCAAGTAAATAATACTAATTACTAAGCGGTATCTTAGTAATTACTGTATTAATAAGGTTATGAATGCTGTTAATAGTTTAGGGTTCCTATTTATTGGAAACAATAAAATGTTTCTTTGTTCAAAGCCATCTCTGTTTAGTCAAGCAATCAACTTGAATTGGCAGGAATAAACCCTGATACATTAGGGTTTGGACATACTTTTTTTCAGAATATCTGAAATTTTATTAGAATATCTGAAACCTGCTCAATTTTTCTACTTTACCTAGTCAGTAGGTTTGCTTTGTGTTAGCCTCATATTTCTATTTGGGTGTTAAAACAGTGCCATTGGAATACATAAATTTGCTACACAGAACCTACTGACTTTAACTGACTATAATCTCTGCTGATACACTTTTCTTTTTTTCAATGAAACAGGATATCCAGCAATAAGATCTGCAAATAAATTTGTATTATGACACCTTTCATTGGAATAACATCTTCATCTGAATTATAGTGTCGTATAATGCAGAACACTGTAATAAACTCAATGATTGGGGCACTTCAGGTGAGCCAGCTATTGGTATGGCATCCTTTGCAAAAATTAATTTTCAGTTCCATTCAAAGTGTTTTATTCATTAAGGATAAATGAATTAATAATATTTAAAATGCATTAAGTACTTACTATGGGCCAGATACTATGCTAGGCACTGTAGCTACATTATCTCATTTAATCTTCACAAATCAATGCTATACTTCTCTTATCCCCATTTTACAGCTATTACAATAAAGTATCAGAAATGTTAAGTCTATTATCTAAGATCATAGCATCAGTATCAAGCTAGGGTTAAACCCAGATCCAGTTGAATCCTGAGCTCCTGTTTTTACCTGCCCCTTAAAGACTAATTATTAGGAACATAATGCAACACTGTCCAAAAGGATTTTAGGCAATGATGAACATGTACTATATCTGTGCTGTCCAATATAGTAGCCATTAATCACATGTGGCTATTGGACACTTAAAATGTGGCTAATACAACTGATGTACTTAAGTTTCAATTTTAATTCATTTAAATTTAAATTACTACAGATCTGTGGTACTCAATTGCCACAATACACCCTAAAAGAGCTGCTTGTTTTGGAAGAAAGCAACTTTGTTGTTTATTTTTAGGAGCCAGATTCCTACTCATCCTCTTAAGCTTGTGAAAAATTCTTTCCAGGAAAAGTTTCCACCAAAGTTGTTTTCACTGGCAGTAGTTCAGGTCTCAGAAGAATACAGTAAGTTAAACTACCATCTGGATTTATTATTGCTATCTTTAGTGCTGAGATGAAAGTATAACACTTGGAGCTTTCAACAGTGCTTAGCTTTAAAACCCATCTTAACCTTCTATTATAGGCAAAGAGAGCTTATTTCTTCTATCCATATTATGACCAAGGGCCTAATGCATATAACAATTAAATACATATCACATGCAGCCTGTTTCTTTTAACTACTTAACCTTTCAGTAGCTGCAGTTCTTTTATTATTTTAATAAACTTCCTGGGAAAACTATATACTCACCACCACCACAACTATCTTTTTGTTTTTAGTGACTTTTGAGTTCTCCCAACTTATTTTAAAGCCACTTGAGAAACTGTGTTCAGAGGCTGTTCCATCAGAGCTTTGACTGCAGCTTAAACACTTCATAAATCCCCTTTACCAAATGTTGAACACACTCATTCTGATGATTCATAAACAATGCAATTACAACAGTCAAGATATCCTTGGAAGATAGTGTCTAAAAAAGAAAATGTACTCCTTTTATATATAAAAGAATAAAGGCATGGAAGGTGAGAGAGGCATATCCAAGGCGAGAGAATAAGATCAGAAAATAATGTGCTCCCCTGATTCTCAGCCAATATTTTGACCGTTTATTCATTCAACAAGTAATTTTGATATGTTTTATATATTAAGCAATGGGGATACAAGGGTAAACAAATTAAAGTCTCTGAACTCATGTTTACAGTTCAACAAAGAAAGCAAACAACTTAGTATAGTAAAATGTCATTCCTATTGTGATAGGGGAAATACAGTGTGCTACAGAAATTCACAAGGGTTTGATGTGAGAGAGAACATAAGACAAATCCAGTACAAATTTAGCAACTTTAGGAGTTGGAGGGAAGTTGTGAGATGAGACGAGATGGAGATAAGCAGAGACTGATTCACTTTATTCTCAGGGTAGTGTAAAATCATTTTCTATGGATTTATGGCGGAGATTCACGCAATCCAATTTACAGTTTTAAGACTACTGTGGAAATGCATAATGGGGCAACTGAGTATTGTGACACCAGTTGAGAGATGTGTTATGGTGGTGGCCTGAACTAAAGTGTTGATAGTCGGGATGGAGGAGAATGAAAAGGTCAGAGAAATATTCAGGTTTGAGCAATGATAAGGGAGGGGGAGGGTGGAGATAAGAGGGGGAAAATAAGGCATTTAGCCCTAATCCTGTATAATCGGACCCAATTCTGGATATATTTGACTCAAATTGGTATATTCAAAAGACTATCGTATATATAGGTCTGGTGCTTTAGGGAGAAGCCAAGTTGGAGATAGATTTGTGAGTAATCATGACTTTTTGCTAATGGGAATTGTAACTATAAGGAGGATAAAAGCAAAGAGAGAATGTGCATAGTAGAAGAGAAACTGTGGAAGGAACTCCAACATTTGAGTAGCAGCTGGGTTAAGCAAGTAGGCCTAAAAAAAGACTAAGATATGGCTGAAGAAGGATAAAAAAAAGGGGGGAGGATAATGGTTTTTAATGACTAGAGTGTATTAGTGTGTTTCCAGAAGAATGGAGTATTAAACATTTTATTTAAATGGCACAAAGAATTCAAGCTACAAGAACTGAAAATATCTGTTGATTTAATAGTGTTTCTCAACTTTCTTTTCATTATTACCTTTTACAGATTTCCCTTCAATCATACACCTCCCCCATGACATTTTAATACTATAGTATATCTGTATATCTCTTTATGTACAATAAATATAGCTGTGCTTTATACATAAAAAGAGTATAATTTTTTTTGTTTGTTTCCCAAGAGGCAATTTTTGTCCCCACTGAGAATATATAATTTAACACACTGGTGATCTTTGTAAAAGTGGTTTCAGTGGTCATTTAGTGGAATGCTGGAAACTATAAATATGCTACAGTGGGCTGATAAATAGCATGAAGTGGGAAAAAAAGAGATAAGGCGAGTAGATGATACATTCAAGAGTTCTAGCTGTAAAGGGGATGAAAATACAAGAAAATAAATGGGAGCAGTTCATAAAGTTAAGGAAGAATATTTTTAAATGCTGAATGAATGGTGTGAGTAGAGAGGGAAAGGCTGATATGTAGGAGAATAACTGAAAAAAAGAAGACCCTGAGACAGCAGGAGAGGGTGGTATTGAGAGACCAGGTGAAAGAATTTGAACAAACGAGAAGAAGGTTTGTGTATTTGGTTGCAGGGAGATGATGGCTTTTATTTTCTGTGTGTAATAAGAGAGAAGGTCATTTGTAGAGGGAGAGAGAATTCTTCTTCTCTACAAATACCATTTGCTACCCACAAATGGAGCTATTATTGAGCTTCTTAAAACTATCTAGTCAGCAGGGAACTCCAACAATATATGACGTTGGATGTTTAGAAACATTGTAAAAATCCTAAGATTCAGTAAGAAAAGCTAACCTTATTGCAAAGACAGCTTTCCAACTAAAGATATGTAAATTTTCAGGTAATTCTTCATTTACCGCATTCCTCCACTTTTCCTAGGTTTTCAACTGAAAGTCTCCTCCTTTGTTTCCAAAGCTAATTCTTCCACTTGTAATTCTGATCCCATTCCCTTTGGTCTTTTCCAGGGTCTTTATCTCTTCTTTCTTGAATCTTTAATCTTATACATTGGTTATTTGCTTTCTGCACCAAAACAATGTATCTTGCATTCTTTAAAACAAACAAACCTCAAGCCTTTTAGAGACCTTGTCATCCTCAGTAATCTTTTGCTTCATGCTCCAAATGAGGAAGGATTAAGTCTACACTTGCAGTCTCTCCTCTCAGTAACTGAGTCTATTAAAGTTGCTCTCTTAAGTGACCCAGTAACTTCCTAATCAGCAAATCCAACAACCTATTCTCAGACTTCAACTTACTCCTTTGACCCCTTTTATATTACTGATAACGTTCCCCCAAACAAAACAAATACTTCTTGCCCTATTAAATGAAACTTCACCTGTTTTGGTTCTCTCCTTGAAAGTTTCTTTCCGGTTTACTCCCCATGCTTTTTTCTTTTAATCTTTCTACCATTTCCATCTAAACCACTGTTTCAAACTCGATATATCCCCAAGTTCCACAAAATTCCTTCTCATCTGAGGGTTCCTAATTCTACAGTGGCACCACCTTCTTAATCATGTAGTCTATAGGCTTAAGGTTCAATCCAAATCTACCAAATCTAACTAGCCATATCGCTCATCACTTTTCCACATTCACTCTCTCCTGAAGAACTGCAACGCCCTCCTCACTGTATTCCCCACCCCAGGCAAGACGTCCGCTCGGGTCACTCGGAGGTTTTGTTCTCCAAAGCAGAAGAGAAGCCTGGGGCTGAAGTCCGAGTCGTCGGACTCGAGCTCACTATGGGTGACAAGACCTTTCCCCCGCGCCGGAGAACGAAGAGAGACCCCAATGAGCTTGAACCTCTCGGGTTTGGGGCCTGAGAACACTGGGCTGCAGGTGCACCGCTCCCTTCCGGCCCCGCTGGCAAGAAAGCCCGGAAGGCCGGGAGGGAGGCGCGTTCCCGGCCAACAGCACCGGAGACGCTCCTGCAGTCCAGGTTGGAGTCCGGAGCCCCAGCTATTCAGCCTACTCCCCAGTTTTCGAGCTGTCCCCTGACCTCAGACTCCCCGCCCCTCACACTCACCCCAACACCTGGGCCTGTCAGTGATTCGGCGCCGGGTCCTCTCCGGACCGAGGCTGAGGCAGCTGAGAAGGCCGTGAGGACCCCGCAGTTGGAGTGCCCAGTAGATTGCCTGACTAACAGCTTAAAAGAAACTAGTTCTACAGATTTGGAAATATTAAATAAGCGGGAAGACGCTGAATGAGAAGAAAGACGTCTCTTGAGGTTTAAGATATAAATCTTTTAGATCACCCAGGATCTAAGAAAATGGGGGGCAATTTCACACCATTTGGACTCAGGCGCTCATCCTCAGCCTACCTCAGTCTGGGGTCCCCCTATAGCCAAGTGGGCGGGGTCAGAAAGGGGTTGTACATAGCTAATGGGTGGAGCCGAGAGGGTAGAGCCAATGACTGTGAGTGGGAGAGGCATGGGCTGGGAGGAGTCGGGAGGGGCGGGGTTCGTAGAAAAGGAGGCGGTGACACAGGGAGGGGGCGGGCCGGAGCCTAAGTGGGTTGGAAGCGTGAAGATGGCCGCGGCCGAGGAGGAGCCGAAGCCCAAAAAGCTAAAGGTGCAGCCGCCGCGTGCGCTGAGGTGAGCGCTACCATACGAAGGGTGGAGGGTGACGGCGCCTCCCGCTAACCATGGCCCACGTATATTTGCATGGCCCTGGCGCTGGGTGGCGTTCTCGCTGCCGCTTGGGGCCAAAGTGCAGAAGCCGCTGCTCCGGGAGCTGCCTGCAGGGCTGCGACCTCTTATCAGGTGCCCGCCCAGTTTGGCTGAGACGCCACGTGCTCCGCAGCGGCTCCCGCCGCCCTTGACCAATCAGAGCGCCAGTCGGGGTTGCGGAGCCCGCCGAGGGCTGGCTTCGGTCGCCACGTGGGAGCACTCCCACGCTGGGTCGGTGAGAGAACCGGGAGGATGGAGCAGGACCAGCGCAAAGTCAAATGCGGCCACCTCCTCTTCCCTGCGGGGTAACGAGGAGGAGACCCAGCGACTGCTCAGCCCTGGGGCAAAGTCATAATTCTTGGGGATTTTTTCGTAAATGTTGCGGAAGGACGACTTGACCTTCCTTTTCGTAAAGACTGATTAATGGCACCTGTGAAGATCGTCTGCCAGGGACCCAGTCCTCGCCTCTGAGGCTTTGTGGGGACGACCTTTGGCTGAATGGATAGGAAAGGCTGATTTTTCTTTGCACTTTTTGGCAGCAATGGGGACAGTTCTGCTCCCAACACCTGCCTCACATGAGATTGATGTTGCAACTTTTACTTATCAAAAGCTGTTTGTTAAATATGCCTTCCTAATAAGTATAAAGTGCAGTGTGCACAGTCCTTGATTTTGCAATAATCGTTGGAAGGCAATGATTTTACTAACTAAAACCGGACATATTGAATTGATTTCAAACTATTGGGACACTCCTGATTATACAAGACAAATCTCACTTTTTCCAACGTCACCCTTATTTACCTCCGAAAGAATGAATCATTCGTATTTGAAAAGAAAAGATCACTTAGGGGTTTTGGTGGTGTGTTCATGCTGTTTGGAGTGGATGGTGACCAAGTCCCTGCCAGTGCCTTTAATGTATTTCTGCTACCTTCAAAGGGTTAGTGTTAGTGTGCCTAACTCATATGAAGAAAATAAAGTTTATTTTTTAACGACTCAGGATGTTCTATTTTTATTTTAAGCTTTCAAACTATGGAGTAAAGGGGGGGCTTTGGAATTAGACCTGTCTGTGTTCAAGGCATGTGCTTTCCCTATTCACCTATTATTAGAGTATTTCCTTAAAAGGCACCTCTTTCACAAAATTTTCTGTACTAAATTGGCAGACAGATGCAACTTTTCCTTACTATCCTGTTAAATATACTGCCCTTAAATTTTCCTGTGTTAATCCATTTTCAAAGTGTTTCCCTATTTTACAGATGAAGAAATTGAAGCCCAAATAAACCAGTTAGTTAAGGAACTGAAATATGAACCCAGAGCATCTGGGTGCAAGTTCATTGTTGTTTGACTTTACTGTGTCTACTTTCATATAACCACCGGTATACTTCTTTCTGCCTATGTATCCTTAACAACTAATGATAAATAATGTTTAATACTTAAGTATCTATGTGCTGGGCACTATATTAGCACTTTACCTATTTTAACTCATTCAATTCCACAACAACCCTACAAGGTAGGTACTATAATTATCTCTATTTTACCAAGGAGGAAACAGGCATAGAGAGGTTAAATAATTTATCAAGTTCACCTATCTAGTAAGTGATAGGGTTGGGGTTTTAATCTAGGTAGTCAGATTCCAAGCCTGTACTCTTAATTACCATGCTATACTTATTAACTTCAAGCAATTTATTCCAAAATACTAGTGAATTGTTAACTCAGTTTTTGTTTCTCTACTACTTTCGCTTCTGGGTTTTTTTTGTTGTTGTTAGTGTACATAACTTTTTATGTTGTTGCAATATGTGGGCATCTGATACAAAATAATTCTTAAATATGTATAATATATTTTGTATGTCATTAGTGTATTTAAAACTTGTAAAAGTCTTTAGGCAACTAAAACTCATTTTATACACTATTTAGTGCCACTTACAGATTCAAAGTTAAAAGATGAGACATTTGAGTGCTGGGGCAACTCTCAATTTTGTGTGAAGATGCTTTAGGATTGGCTGTTCCTACTTTCACTATGTTAGTTTGGCTTTAAGGGTTGAGTGTGATTATGCACTGAGTGGTCAGACTGCATGTGTTATTTATGATGACTTGCTTGACAGTTCAGGGGCTAGTTATCAGTTTTGGTTAACTTTTAGGGAGAATGACTTATGAAGTCTAAGCATAAGTTAATGGGTAGATCAATCAGTGGGAAACAAATAAGTTTATGAACTATTTGTAGATACCAGGGAAAGGATTTAGGCTTTTGTGAGAATTTCAAAATTCTGGAGTAGCAGTTCTCAACCATGGGAAATTTTGGCAGTGTCTGGAGCCATTTTTGTTGGGGAGTGCCACCAGCACCCAGTAGGTAGAGTTCAAGGATGCTGCTAAACACCCTACAATGCACAGGAAGCCCCTACAACAAAGAGTTCTTCAGCCAAAATTGACAATAGTGTTGAGATTGAAAAAACTCTGCTCTAGGGAGATCATCTGACAAGTCTAGCCTCCCTTTCTCAAATGGCCATTGTTTTTCTAAACTGGATTACTTTTCAGGTTAGCAGTTACTAAAGTTGCCAAGAAATAAGCAGGATTGAACATGTTTTCACATTGGGGAACAGACAGGAACATTAATTGAGATATTATACTAGGTGCTTTTATGCTATTTCATTTAATCTTCCCAGCAACTTGTGAGGTAGGTGTAATGATCCCCGTGTTATAGGGTATTTAGGTTATTTAGGGCTGAAAAAAGTCTAGAGGAATTTTTGGAAACTGCTTTCTAGGTGAAGGTGCTCCACGGTGATTACCTATATTTAGGACCTCTTAGTTTTCTTTTCTCTCCTTTGGAAATGTCATCCAAGTTTATTTCTTTAGCAGTCACCTCTAAGAGGATACAGTTCCTTCCAAAGCTTGTTGAGCACATGCCAAGTCTGTTCTTTCAATCAGCCTTGCAGTGCCTGCTCTTTTTAGCATGATGCTAAAAATTAGGTTCCTTCATATAGAGAGGTAAGACCCAGGTACTACCCTCCTGGTGGAAATGAGTGGGGTTTGGGAAAGTGGTACCTGAGCATTCTGAAAGATGACAAGGAGTTAACCAGGTGTGAAGTAGGATGTCTGGCTTTATAGGAAAGTTTGTTTGGAGGTAGAGATGGGAGAGAGCTGCCCAATGGAGAACTACATATGGTTTGGTCTGGCTGAAGCAAAAGGTGTATGGGGTCCAGGCTTTGTACTGGATACTTTTCACATGTGTGATCTTTCTATCTCTATATCCTTTAGCTCTCAGACCCTCATTTCACTGTCTGCTGAATATCTCCTTCTGTCTTGCTGACGCTTCAAAGTCATATATATCAAACTAAATTCATCTGTTGTCCTAAATCTGCACCTTCTTCCCTGCTTCCTGCATGTGTTAATGGCACCACTAACTTCTCTTTCCCTAAAGTTTGGAATCTAGATAGACACTTGATTCATTTTCCATCCACATACAGTTATCAAGTTGGTTTTTTCTTCTTCAGTAATACCTCATAAATGCCTTTCCTTTTCATTTCCTGCTGCCACAACTCAAGTTTAGACTTTATCTTGCTTAGACTTTGCGTTGGCCTCCTATCTAGTCTCTCCACCTCCAGCCTCAAGTTCTACCTAATCTTCAGGCTTAGCTCTGCTTATTCATCATAGCAAATATTTGTAAGCTCTGAAGTTGATGTTAAGGAAATGTTCAGTCCCAGGAGCCCACATCATAACTCTCTCTGACATTAGCAAACAAAGATTATTCTGAGTCTTGATTTTTAATAATAAATAAATAAATAATAAAACCAGCGAATATTGAGCTTTTCTCAAATTATTGCTTCCTAACTATTCACTTTCATGGCCTCCTTTTATTCTTTCACTTTGTCTCCTACCTCATTAAAGACCCCATGTGTTTTTGTTTTTTTAAGATTTTTATTGGGCAATTGGAGGATGAGAACAGTGCTGGGGAATT